ATTTCAAAAGAATCCTCATGAAATTTGGCTAGAGAAAAGTGAAGTTTGTTTTGCATACTCATCTGTAAGAAAATAGAGAAAAACGGCGTCAAAGTTGAGCGGCTTCTTAGGACAAAAAAACCTGCAAAAGCCGGTTAACTTTGACGGCTTATATCTCGACGTAAAAGCATCGAATCGACTTACGATTGGTTTTATTAGAATCTTTATCAAATTTAACTATAGAAAAGTAGAATCTGTTTTAGGTGACGTAGGATTGCCCTTTGCTTTACATCTCGACGATTTTTGGCTTATAAAAATCGGATCAATTTACGATTTTTGCCCGGATCAACCAGCAACCTTTTCGAATTGAATTTTCTTTCAATAACTAGGGCATTAAATGCTAATTGCTTTACGTAGAGCTTGTAAAATGAGAAAAAAAATGGCATACAAAAATGGGAAATGAGAAATGAATGGAGAACACGCTAGAGAAACGATCGTTTACGTCAAAAGTCGTGTAATAGCAATGAAAAGTCAATTGTGAAAGTCAATAACAACTTTAGAGTGGTAAATATTTGTTAAAATCAGCTACAGAATCTTGGAAAATTTAGTTGGAAAATCGAATCATTTACTAGCTTTATTTTAACGCGGGGGTGGCTGCTTTGTGCGAAAATTTTTTGCGCAACGCAACTCACTATAACTGAAGATTTGTTTCGAATACTCAATAATAGAAAAATAAAAAATTTTGTCATGATTTTGTCATTTACTTTTTTGTTTTACGCTGAACTTTAAATTTGTCTTTTTTTTTTGTAAATACAATTTATTTATATGTATTATTCTAATTAAAAACAAAAAAAAGGCCAACGGGGTGGCATTTTCTATAAAAAAAAATTGCATCGATTTTTTTTGAAAAAGTGATTTTTCAAGACTTTTCCTCGGTATTGTACCTGTCTTACGATTTCCGGTACACGTTTTGAAATGAACCTTGAAATGGTTACAAGTTAGAAAATGATCTAACTTGTAACCATTTCAACTACACTTGCAGTAAAACTCTACCTCTAGTTGTAAGGACTAGGATGTAGGGTAGTTTGGGCGCCGAGTGAATCTCGTTGAAGATCCTAGACCTATGAAGACCTAGCCTAGACCTAGGAAGACCTAGCCTAGACTTAGGAAGACCTAGCCTAGACCTAGGAAGACCTAGCCTAGACCTAGGAAGACCTAGCCTAGACTTAGGAAGACCTAGCCTAGACCTATGAAGACCTAGCCTAGACCTAGGAAGACTTAGCCTAGACCTAGGAAGACTTAGCCTAGACCTAGGAAGACCTAGCTCTCAATGACGACCATTTTAAGTTACAAGGTTCAAAAAAACGAGTAAAACAGCTTTCTGGACAAATTTTAGAACGATTGAAACAATTGAATCACGAGTTGAACGCAGCCTTTCAACATCGACAAGCCGCTAGACTTTAACTAACTAAACGATTACGATTTCATTGTTTATCAAAAAATCATTGATAAATTTGCGTTGCAACTAGTGAGGTTACGATAGCTTGAAACCAGGAAACGTTTTAGAAAACACAATCAAAAAAAACGAGCCAATTCTCCAAGCCTCCTAGATTATTAATCTCAAAAATTCAATTCCAAAGTATTCCCGAAGCTGTCATTTTCTTTCGAAAACACAATCCATCAAAAGAATTTCCCGATGATCGTCTAATAAACAACAGTCAGAGGCAAAAAAAAACTACGGTAATCGAAAAAGAATTGAAATTGAAGTAATTGGGTTGAAAAATGTCATTTCTGCCTTATCAAAAAGCGGAATTGGCTCTATTCAATTACAAAATGACTTGAAAAGAAAAAGAAAACGATTCAGGAGACTCAGGGAACTTTTGACCAGCTGGACTTTGCTGGAAGAAAAATAAAAATAGGAATTTGTCGTAGAGAAAAAATAAAAATAGGAATTTGTCGCGCAACGTGGCATTCCAAACGATTCAGTTTTTCTCGACAAATTCCAGGGAAAAAATCTAGGGGAAAAATTGTTTCAAACGTTGAAGCATAGCAGAATCAAAAACAACGGTAAAAAGACGATTCAGTTGCTTATCCCTTTTTCGCTCTCTACAAATTCGAAAAGATTCTTTTAATGCACTAGATTTCTCAATTACAAAGCTAATTGTTCAATAAAAATCGAAAAAAGCGTTCCAGTCCATCCGTCAATCAATCCGCTCGCAATTCGGTCCAATTACCCCGACCCAGCAACTTCCCGTCAATGTCAAAACGATCAACAAGCATCATTTTAACGTTGAAGCATAGCAGAATCAAAAACAACGGTAAAAAACGATTCAGTCGATCATTTTCGCTCTCTACAAATTCGAAAAGAAACACCTTTGACCTTGGCCGACTTTGAAAACCATCGGCTACAAATTCACAGCTCAATATCTTCTTTACCTTTATCTTTGCTCAATATCTTTTTGTATCTTGTATATTTGTATTATAAAGGAAAAAAAAGCCTCTATAAAGTGACTGGCGAGGTGTTCTTTGTGCGGCTACGTAATCACTCGCTTCCTGACAAAACTTCCTGGTATAGAATAGAAAAAAAAGTGTTTTTCGAGATGTTTTTTGATGTTAAATTTGAATTTCTGTCATTCCAACGTGGCATTCCAATTAACGTTAAAAAAAAGTTAAAAAAAGCAAAAAATAAGTTTTTAAAAAATTCGAACGCAAATTTTGATTTTGGTTGCATTTTAGAATTCGACCCTTAAGCTATTTTGCGCGGGTTACGGTAGGTTATCCATTGTGATTTTAAAAACGATTTATCTGACCTCAAAATCAATGGTTTTTGACGTTTTTGGTCTTCAAATGACCAGAAAGAAAATATCTTTCAAAATTCGCCGGGCATTTTTGATCCATCCTGAAATACGCGTTTTTTCGAGTGCTTTTTAGAAAACCCATAATGGGATCTTTGGGTAAATCTCATTTTTAAGAAAAACTGTCGAACCGATTTTAAAAAAAAGTTTCAGATTCGGAATCAGCGCAATTTTTCACGTTGAATGGTGTGTCAAACTTGAATTTTGACTAGAAAAATATTTTTTAGCCTTATTTCGCGCCGTTGTGCGCCGCGTCGTCGTTTCTTTTTCATTTTCAAATCATTTATGTTTGTGAATTTGAAAGTTTTGTTCTTTTTTTTATTTTTTATTCTTTTTTTTTTATTTTTTATTCCTTTTTTATTGAAATTATTGTTTTACGCAATAAATTTTATGTTGAAATGAGAAAGAAATCTACCGTATTTACTCTATTAGTGGGGTCCCCCACTATTTTTTCAATCCCCTTCCAGACGACCCCACTATTAGAGAAATTTAAAAGAACATAAAACCAAAGTTTTAAATTGAAAAGATATCAATTTTTCTCCGAAATTCTTGAAAAAACAAGTTTGGCTTCATTATTTATTTAGCTTTAACCGTAACAAAACATTAACAAACAGTAAAAGAACTAATCCAAGAGATCAACAATTGATGTATCACTTTCGTTACCAATATTAGAGAGGACCCCACTATTTTTTCAACCCCCCTCCAGACGACCCCACTATTAGAGAGGACCCCACTATTAGAGAGGACCCCACTAATAGAGTAAATACGGTATTTCCATTTGAGAGCCGAGTGGAGAATCCGAAACTTTAGCCGGACCACAATGCAAACTTTCATTTTCTGTCTTTTCTTTTTCATTTCTTTTTCATTTTCAAATCATTTATCTTTGTGAATTTGAAAGTTTTATTCTTTTTTTATTGAAATTATTCTTTTATGCGATAAATTTTATGTTGAAATGAGAAAGAAATCAATTTCAATTTGAGAGCCGAGTGGAGAATCCGGAACTTTAACCAGACCACAATGAAGGCCAAAACCAACTGTGAGATGGTTTGTGGAGTTGAATGGAAACAACGAAAGCAAGGCTTATCTTCTGAACCATTGCAAAAGTGATCTGGTGATTATTCTCCCGAAGACGAGAAACGTGGCAGATCCGAGGTAAGGTGCTGTTAAAAGCTGTGATGTCAAAAGGTGCTGATCTTCTGGTACTACTTCCGAACGACAACCGGCTTCCTACAAATTAGAAGAGCACTTAAAGGTTGACCAATCAACGGTAGTCAGACATCTAAAAGCCCTTGAGTTTACATTGAAATTGAGGAGCTGAATAAACCATACCCTGACCGAGAATCAGAGATTGAACAGGATCAGTGCTGCGCATCTTTCGCTTTTTTCAGTTCCTCCTCTTCCTTTTGATTTTTTTTGCAAAAACCTTTCCATTTTCTGAGCAAAATTGATTCGTCGACGTCCGAGCTGCCGACAAGAACAAATTCAATGTCAAGTACGAGAAACATCAAATTTTGACATCTCTATTTTCATTCCCTTCGTCTATAGGTGTACAACGGAAATTCAGCAATTTTCTGAGGTCATAAGAAATAGATATAAATCAAATATTTTAAGTTGAATAAAGTTCAGAAATTTTTAGAGAACTTTGAGAAAAATTTTTTGAAATCTTTTGCAAGAGTCAACAAGTTTAGGGGTTTTTTTTTTGGCGATAATTACTAGCTTTTTCGACGTCGAGATAAACACATTTTGGAATGATTTATTCACATCGGTTTCGAGATGGATCGAAAAAAGAAAAACCTCGGGATGATTCATGGAAAACATGGGAAAAGAACGTGTACTTTGTGGAATTTGCGCAAACGAAACCCTTCTCGCAACACAAACGCTTTCTTCATTTTCCTGCGAGTCGACGAGACAAGAAAGATGAAGAAATGAGTGCGCTAGACGGGGTGCGTTTGCACGTTTTCGAAAGCAAAAAGAGAAAATTTGTTTCTCTAACAAGGAAATAGCTTTCAAAGTTGTTCTTTTGAGTGTACTTTGTGCTCTTATTAGCGTAGAAATCTATCCTTTCTAGCGCACTGAATTCTTTTTTTCTTTTCTGTTTATTTTTATTTAAATTTATTTACCCGTGAAATCGTTTGAACAATAATTTTCCAAAAAAAAAAAATTTTAAAGATGAGCTAAAGTTTTTCGTTTTTTCGACAAATCCGCTGGGGTTTCTGGATGGAAAGTGGGACGGACAACTGAAAAAAAAAATGATATCAATGATATGAAATGATTGAAATACTGTAATAGAAGCTCAATAATGTGCGGAGTGTTGTGTAGTCTAGCTTTAAACGAGTTTTTCTCGACACTCGTTTAAGCTATAATGTGCGATTAGGTATCAAAAAAATAGCCCCGAATTTCAGCTATTTTTTGATACAAAAGCGCGCATTGTAGCATAAACCAGTGTCGAGAAAAACTCGTTCAAAGCTAGACTAAGCAACACTCCGCACCGTCATTATGGGCGGTGGGGTACTATTACAGTACGTTATGAGTACGAGTATGAGTACGAGTACGAGTAAATCTTTTGATATCAAATTATCAAATTAAATCAAATCGATATCAAAATATCAAATCAAAAATCAAATGTTTTTTTGAAAGTACGAGTACTTGTGCGACTACGCGTCACTGCGACTACGACTACGCGTAACTTTTGCGACTACGCGACTGTACTATACTGTAACAGTATTGACGATAAGAAAAATCTCGATTTAAATTTTAAAATGGTACTTGTTGATCGTTTTGACATTGACGGGAAGTTGCTGGGTCGGGGTAATTGGACCGAATTGCGAGCGGATTGATTGACGGATGGACTGGAACGCTTTTTTCGATTTTTATTGAACAATTAGCTTTGTAATTGAGAAATCTAGTGCATTAGAAGAGGTGCGTTTTGAGCATAAAGTACACCAAGAGTTATCGTTTTCTTTTTTGAAGCTTGAGACTTTTGAAGCTTGAGACTTTTGAAGCCTGAGAGCCAATCTACATTAGAACTAGGCTCATTATCGGTTAATCTAGTGTCAAATAGAAAGGAAGATAGAAAACGAAAGATTGTCGGGATTTCTCTACCGTAAGTTTAAGCAATAAACAAGTCTGTTCAGAAATCTAAAGGCCAGTCGAAACCCAGTTCTTGGTAGAGTGCAAAAGCCACCGCACCGCCCTCCCCCGGCGGTAAGTTTTTTTTTTTTGCAGAAGCCTAGGCATCTCGATTAGTTAAACAACTCTCATTATTATGACAAAGTTTTAAAATGTGTGAAAGGGATCGCCCGGGCCGCCTCTCGGGCCCGTGCGGGAGATGGGTGGGGACGCGTGGGGGAGGTACCTGGAAATTCGTTTTCCTAGGCACTTTCGTGTGCTGATCACGAATATCACAACGGAAAGGCGTAATTCCTCCAAAAAAGACCAAACCCCCACCCATTGTTCATTGTTTTTAGTTCATTGTTGAGTAATGTAGAGCATGTTAAAAAATGATTTGAAAGCCCTAAGCCTAAGCCTAAGCCACAATCAAACAAAGCTTTTTTTTGCACTTACCCAGCACTATTCTCTGCACTCGTGATCCCATTCGGACTCATCGATCCTCCAATTCCCGTTTCCCGTCGACCATAATGTGAAAGGTACTCTTTCAGCACTCGATCCTTATCACTTTTCTAGAAATAATTTAAGAATTACTGTAATATTGTTCTTTTATTCTTCTTTTATTGTTCTTTTATCGTTCTTTTATTCTTCTTTTATTCTTCTTTTATTCCTCTTTTATTCTTCTTTTATTCTTCTTTTATTCTTCTTTTATTCTTCTTTTATTCTTCTTTTATTGTTCTTTTATTATTCTTTTGTTCTTCTTTTGTTCTTCTTTTGAGACTGTAATATTGTTTTTGAATAACCTTATCACTCCTCCAAAAGTATTGCACAAAAACGCGTGATTGAAAGCCGCACCATTGTTCGCCTTCTGGAAAAGCTTTGATTGGGAATTTTTTTCAAATCAAAAGTAAGTATTGATTGAATATTTTTTAAAAAACCTTTATTCAACGGCACAACAACGCTGATGATTCGATGAAAACCCTTGCAACTACGCCAATAGCTGAAGTGTCTGAAAAGAGTTGAAAAGAGTTGAAAAGAGTTGCAAAGAGATCAGAAATCAGCTCGATTATGCGGGAACACAAGGTACACCCCATCAATCACACCTAGTTCAGTGTGCTAGACGTCTAAATTTTTGAGGAGAGCTCAAAGTACACGAAAATGAACGCGCAGTCTTATGCGCCAGACTCGTGTCGTTTATGCGGGAACACAAAGTACACAAAACGTGCGCCAGGCGTCTAAAGTTTGAGGAGAGCTCAAAGTACACGAAAATGAACGCGCAGTCTTATGCGCCAGACTCGTGTCGTTTATGCGGGAACACAAAGTACACAAAACGTGCGCCAGGCGTCTAAAGTTTGAGGAGAGCTCAAAGCACACGAAAATTTGTTCTATTACTGTTCTTTGCTTACGCCTTAGCATTTTAAACTATATACCGCCCATAGTACAGTATGAACTAGAGAAATTCCAAAAAATTCAGCTCAAAGACAAGCCAAAGCCATGGCTTTTGGCTTTCTGAACGATGCCGCTGAAGAAAAACCCTTCTAGGTCACAGTACTCACAATCAGACCCTAAGCTTTTTATATTCGACGATTCGATTGAAAGATTCGACTTTCACATCCCCCAACCTGGTCACTTTGAATACTCTCTCCAAATCGACTCTCATCAAACCACCGCCTTTAATTTTCTTTCGTCGATACGCTCCTTTTGCTGAGCCTTTCCATGAAAGAAGGGTCACCTAAAAATAAGCAAAACTATTGACAGTAATTGACGAAATTATTGACAATCATTTTATGCTCAAGATCTATTTTATGATCACCTGATGATAAGTGCGCAGTGTCTCGGAGAAAAAAAAGCGTGAAGACGAGCTGGTTTGCTTCCAGAATCTGAATTGAATTCGATAAACCATTGCACTAACCACTAGACCGCCAAGCGACCTCTGGCCCGTCTTTAAAAACTCACTAAGACTAAAACGCCCCTCAAATCTTTAAAAGGGCTTGTAAAAACTTGTAAACCAGTTTTAGTGTGTTTACAATACTCAAAAGTAGCTAATTTTTATATCATTCGACTCGTCTTTTCAAGCTCTACAAGAGCTCGATATGTGCTCTAACACATATCGAGAACTCCAACCGATTCCTTGTGAACACCATTTTAAAGCTCTAACTCTAAGTAACTGGAGAAATCAGTGCCGGTAAGCACGCTAATCGTATCACAATAGAAATTCAGCTTTATCTTAACTATTAAAAACAAGTTTTGCTCAATTTTTGATCTTAAAATCAGTGAAATCTGAAAACGAACGTGTGATCGGCGACAATCGGCTCTACCGGCACAGCATCTCCATCAAGAATGAAACAAAAATTGTCAACAACCATTGTCGGATTGATCTGAAGGTTGAATTTGTTGAATTAAACTGATTTATAGGCTCACCTTGCACAAATATTTAACCGGACAAGTGAGCGTGTTCTCTAATGTAGCCGCTCCATCCATTGGCGGTTGATCTTTCGTGAAAACGGGGATCGGTTCAAGATTGTCTCCATTTATATGAAAAACGAGTTCTTCTTCCTCTTCAATTGCTAAAATATGAAAGAGTTTAGATTTTAGAAAAGAAAATTTGATGTTTTTCGTACTTGACATTGAATTTGTTCTTGTCGGCAGCTCGGACGTCGACGAATCAGTGATCTCTTCAACACGGCTGAATTTTGGAACATTTAAAAGTTTTAAAACGAAATTTTCAATTTTTCAAGGTCTCTAGTAGACTTGTAACAAAAAAAATCTGTCGCTTCTTTTTTCCCATTGACAATTCAAGGTTTTTCGTGTTTTTCTCAGCACCAACCATTTGAGTTTCACTATTTTAATTACCATTCGATGCAGAATAAAATTGCGCGTCGAATGATACCAAAATCAACTCAAAATGTAATATCCACGTAAAGCTGTTGGCTAAAAACCTAAACCCTCCATTATGGGCGGGACTTAACCTTTTGCCAACGGCAATTTACGGTTTTTCGTGTTTTTCTCAGCACCAACCATTCGAGTTTCAATATTTTAATCACCATTCGATGCAGAATAAAATCGCGCGTCGAATGATACCAAAATCAACTCAAAATATCATATCTACGCAAAGTTATGAGGCAAAAGAATCAGCTCTGCCTATTATGGGCGGGATTTAGGTTTTTAGCCAACAGCTTTACGTGGATATTACATTTTGAGTTGATTTTGGTATCATTCGACGCGCGATTTTATTCTGCATCGAATGGTAATTAAAATAGTGAAATTCAAATGGTTGGTGCTGAGAAAAACACGAAAAACCTTGAATTGTCAATGGGAAAAAAGAAGCTACAGATTTTTTCGTCTGTAGCACATTCTCTAATGTAAGTGTACGGTAAATGGTGATATTTTTAACTAGTCAAACACAGCCCACCTTCACTGTCGAACTCTTCAATGCACTGCCTGGTCAAATGTTTTTGAAGACTGATTTTTCTATCGAAACCCACAAACACAATAAATCTCAACTCTGGAAGCTCTGGAAGCTCTGGAAGCTCTGGTAGCTCTGGAAGCTCTAATAGCTTCCATTTTCTAAAACACGCTCCTTTCTCTTTCTCTTTCCTCTATTTTTATCTAATCTATCCACTTTTTATACCTTTCGATATTCTTTTTCAATCCTCACAAAATTCGATCCAAAAAATAGCGACAAAATTACGGTAGCCAATCGGAGGAAGTTGAAAAGAAAAGAAAACGTTTAAGAAAAGGATACTTTTAGCTGCCGTAACCCTCGTTAAAAGAGGGTTTCTATTTTTATATTTTTTTCTCTAAATGATATAAAACTTTATTCTTATTTGTATCTTTTTTTTTCATTTTAAAACAATGAACTCGAAAAGCTCGAAGATTAGAAATTTCAAAAAATCGAAAAAAAAAGAAGAAAAATGAAAAATTAGCATATATCACAAAATCGAGAGAATGCAATGGCGTGTGTGTGAAAAAAAAAAATGCGAAAAAAATGTGTCACCGAAAAAATTCCCTGAGTAAAAAAATAAAAAATAAAAAAAACAATGAAAATTTGCATATAAAAATCGCCTAGATAATCGGCTCATATGTAAATTTGCATTGAAAATAAGGATTACGGTAGATTGAAAGCACAAAATAGGGAAGCTAAATGGGGGAAAAGATATGCTCATTTGTCGAGGGAAATTTGAAAAAAAATTTCTTTTTAAATTTCTTTAAAAATTTCTTTAAAAATTTCTTTAAAGATATTCAAGCAAGGGGATTTTTGCAAGGAATTCGCACGCCAGATGGTTAGCGTTTAGGGAAAAGCTCAAAGTACACGAAAATGAACGCACAGTCTTATGTGCTAGATTCGTGTCGTTTATGCGGGAACACAAAGTACACCCCGTCAATCACACCTAGTCCCAGTGCGTCAGATGTCTAAAGTTTGAGAAGAGCTCAGAGTACACGAAAATGAACGCACAGTCTTATGTGCTAGATTCGTGTCGTTTATGCGGGAACACAAAGTACACCCCGTCAATCATACCTAGTCCCAGTGCGTCAGATGTCTAAAGTTTGAGAAGAGCTCAGAGTACACGAAAATAACGCACAGTCTTATGTGCTAGATTCGTGTCGTTTATGCGGGAACACAAAGTACACCCCGCCAATCATACCTAGTTCAGTGCGCTAGACGTCTAAAGTTTGAGGAGAGCTCAGAGTACACGAAAATGAACGCACAGTCTTATGTGCTAGATTCGTGTCGTTTATGCGGGAACACAAAGTACACCCCGTCAATCATACCTAGTCCCAGTGCGTCAGATGTCTAAAGTTTGAGAAGAGCTCAGAGTACACGAAAATGAACGCACAGCCTTATGTGCAGATTCGTGTCGTTTATGCGGGCCGACACCCCACGTCGTGCAAGTCTAAAGTTTGAGGAGAGCTCAAAGTACACGAAAATTTGCGCCAAATGCACCAGTTGCCAAACGTGCCCCAGATGGTTAGCGTTCAAGAAAAGCTCAAAGTACACCAAATTCAGTGTACACTAGATGCCTTGCGTTTACAAAAGAGCACAAAGTACGTCGAAAGTTCTAAATTTTCATGTGCCAGAAGTCACGAAAACTCAAAGTCTACCGTTTTTTGCAAAATTTAGTGCACTAGGTGGCTTGAGAGAGAGCTCAAAGTACACCAATTTATAAAAATCCAGTGTACCAAGTGGTTGACGTTTGCAAGAAATCCCCAAGCTGAATAGCTTTCTTAATATCCTAGTTTCTTTTCTTGATAGCTTCTCTCTTTCACTGATTGATTATTTGTCTCTTTTGTTGTGGATCGGTGACAAAACGAAGTAATCGTTGCCTTCGTGGGTCGAATTCTCGTTGAACTCTCGCCTTATCAACGGCTTTCGCATTTCGCCACAAATATTGCACAAAGAGTCGCTTCTTGAACTCGGGATGCGAAGCGCCTTCAGCTTGCACCTAATAGATTTACTAATAAATAGTGATAGTAGCGTAAGTCGATTCTTTTTTTGGAGCTGATCGGCACCGGGGTTCGATCCCGCCACCTCTTGAAGGACACGCTCGCCTACCAGACGAACGCTTTACAGCTACACCAACACGTGCCCCATTGCCAGGAAAGAACCTTATATCTTACTATTTAACAAATTCACGTTCGATTATCCAGTAGCAGAAGATCTTGAGTCAATGTCAGGCCACTAGAAACTACAACTTACACTTCAAACGCTTCTATTTTTTTTCTTCAAATCTACCGGATTCATATGAGCTATAACTCAAAAAATAGAGAATTTCAAGAGCTTTCGAATGGACTAAAGCAAATCAAAAAATATCAATTTTAAAGAAAGTTACAGTTGTTTAAAGTCTTGACTCGAAACAAACCGTACTCGCGCGTAGTCAGACACTTTAAAAAACTGTAACTTTCTTTAAAATTGATATTTTTTGATGTGCTTTAGTGAAATCGAAAGCTCTTGAAATTCTCTATTTTTTGAGTTATAGATCATATCGATCTGATAGATTTGAAGAAAAAATAGAAGCGTTTATAGTTTGGCAGATCGTCATTTATGCAGTTTTAGTGCATTTCTAAGTTATTACCCCCAAATTCTTGATATTTCCAATCAAATCTTTTTCATCACAGCGCTGGGTTTTTTTTTGTTTTTAAGCTAGAATAAAATTCTGAACAGTATGGTGAATTCATTATGGCTTTGCCGAATCAGAATCAAATCTGGATTGGTGTAACTTCTGGGTTAAATCCGAGCCATAAGAAAACAGAGAAGAAGCTAAACTATAAACGAGCTAGAGTAGCTAGCAGGCTACTCTAGCTCGTTGATAGTTTAGCTCGTTTACTGCTTTCTTGTTTCTGTTCAGAAAGTCTCGCTAGATTGGCTTGGATTGGATTTGGCTAAGTCTAGCGCTGGCCGGCTCAGCCTAAACCTAAGCCTAAGCCTAAGCCTAAACCTAAGCCTAAGCCTAAATCTCAACTTCCAGACACGTCAACTACCTGAAAATTTGCCAGGATTTTTGCCTATGGGGGGGATGAGCATCGCCAAGCGGGTGCCCCTTAGCTCCGAGAACTGTCTGAGATCCAGAAAATGGGGGTTCAGCCCAAACCCAAATAGACTTAGTGCTAGGCGCTAGCCGCTAGCCTTCGTACTAAGTCCAAGCCTAAGCCTAAGCCTAAGCCTAAGCTCAGCCTAGCGCTCAGCTTTCAGAGCTTATCTCCAGACGATCGAAGCCCATCATTGCCCCAATTCTACTAGCAAAATCAAAGTCAAATTAGTTGAATTTAAACCTAAACTTTGCTTTAATCAGACTTTAACCAGCTTTTAATCAGATCAGCTTCTCTGCTTTACTTCTCACTTCTAAATGTTATCACAAAATAGTCGAAAACAAACCTTATCAATCATTGTGACTATTCGATGAAAAGATGTACAAGTTTTCCAAAAGGAGTAAAACCGAATCACTTTGTAAACGTGTTCAGTAGCCACCTAAAAAAAGAAAAAACTTTAAAAATAAAGAATAAAGAAAAATTTGTTCAAAATTCACTCTGCGATTTTTTTTTGATAAAAAAGCCAAACGAAAAGAATTTTGAAGAAAAGAAAGTTTTAGGGTTTTCGAGAAAATAACACTCCTTACCATTGCCACTTTTTGCACCTCGATCGACTGATTTGATTAATGAAATTATAAATGAAATTATAAAGAAATCATAGCGAAATTATCTAATAATAGTTTTCAAGAGAGCACAGGGTTTAAAGCGTTTAGTTTCACAGCAAAATCCATGCTTTTTAAAGGGGAATATGAGCGGAGATTTATGGTAGAATGGATGCGTTTTAGAATCATAAATGATTAGTAACTGTGGAAAGGATTGTAATGATAGAAACTAGTAGAGAGTACTAGAAGAGTACTAGAGAGTACTAGAGAGTACTAGAGAGTACTAGTAGAGTGCTAGAGAGTACTAGAAGAGTACTAGAAGAGTACTAGAAGAGTACTAGAAGAGTACTAGAAGAGTACTAGAAGAGTACTGGAAGAGTACTGGAAGAGGACTAGAGAGGACTAGAAGAGTACTAGAAGAGTACTAGAGAGTACTAGAGAGTACTAGAGAGTACTAGAGAGTACTAGAGAGTACTAGAGAGTACTAGAGAGTACTAGAAGAGTACTGGAGAGTACTGGAGAGTACTGGAGAGTACTGGAGAGTACTAGAAGAGTACTTTACCTACGCAAAACGTTTCCTTTTGTTTAAAAGGTGAGAAAAAGTCCTCTTTAGCTCTTTGCCTCTTTTTCTTGACTCAAAATCTAACGTAACCATTCTCCATATAAGATTTGCATAGATATTAGTATCGTTTCAACCTCATGCATTGGATTTTTGTTTGTTGAAAGCCCTCTTTTCAAACCTTATTTCTTTCACGAGCGGACATCGAGTACCGACGACGGAAGAGCTAATTTTCAGACAAGGTTTCAATGGTTTAAAAAGTAAAAAGTCGAAAATAAAACTAATACAAAAGAGTGATCTTAGGGGAAACATTTGTAAAGGTTATAAGGTTGAATTTCTCTTTTTTTTTTTCTTGGGTACCTGATCAGCTCGCGAGTGTCCGGTTGTGCGTGAGCTGGCGCCGCTCATTGACGAGCGGGGAGTCGATGAAATGGATGGACTTTGAATTGCTCGATCCAAAGACATGCTACCCGAAGCAAGAACGGCTGAGATTACCTAAAAGGATGAGGATTTTTTTCTGTAATCTAATCACAAGAAGATTCGACGTACGAGCCTTTCCGCGGCAAAAAAAAATCGAATCCTTTCCATTTTCGAGTGCAAATACTGTACAAAATACTGTGCCTACTTGAACTGCTGACTACAGTGCATTACTGTACACTGTGGCTTACAGTAGACGATCCCGCACCCACCTTTCCCTTTGCTGTGATACAGTTGACTCGATGAAATTTCTTCAAATCGTCCGAGTAGAAATATTTTGTTGGTCTAGAAGTGTGTCTCCACCATTGGTCATCGCCCATAATGTCACCCATACGAATCTAAAAGGAAAAGCGAAAGGTAAATGATCTGTAGCAAGCCTTATTAACAACCCTGCGCCAGTTACCGTAACTTTCCAGCTATCCCAGCTACCCCAGCTACCGTAACTTTCCAGCTACCCCAGCTACCCCAGCTACCGTAACTTTCCAGCTACCCCAGCTACCCCAGCTACCCCAGCTACCGTAACTTTCCAGCTACCCCAGCTACCCCAGCTACCCCAGCTACCGTAACTTTCCAGCTACCCCAGCTACCCCAGCTACCGTAACTTTCCAGCTACCCCAGCTACCCCAGCTACCGTAACTTTCCAGCTACCCCAGCTACCGTAACTTTCCAGCTACCCCAGCTACCCCAGCTACCGTAACTTTCCAGCTACCCCAGCTACCCCAGCTACCGTAACTTTCCAGCTACCCCAGCTACCCCAGCTACCGTAACTTTCCAGCTACCCCAGCTACCGTAACTTTCCAGCTACCCCAGCTACCGTAACTTTCCAGCTACCCCAGCTACCGTAACTTTCCAGCTACCCCAGCTACCGTAACTTTCCAGCTACCCCAGCTACCCCAGCTACCGTAACTTTCCAGCTACCCCAGCTACCGTAACTTTCCAGCTACCCCAGCTACCGTAACTTTCCAGCTACCCCAGCTACCCCAGCTACCGTAACTTTCCAGCTACCCCAGCTACCGTAACTTTCCAGCTACCCCAGCTACCGTAACTCTCCAGCTACCCCAGCTACCGTAACTTTCCAGCTACCCCAGCTACCCCAGCTACCGTAACTTTCCAGCTACCCCAGCTACCGTAACTTTCCAGCTACCCCAGCTACCGTAACTTTCCAGCTACCCCAGCTACCCCAGCTACCGTAACTTTCCAGCTACCCCAGCTACCGTAACTTTCCAGCTACCCCAGCTACCCCAGCTACCGTAACTTTCCAGCTACCCCAGCTACCCCAGCTACCGTAACTTTCCAGCTACCCCAGCTACCCCAGCTACCGTAACTTTCCAGCTACCCCAGCTACCGTAACTTTCCAGCTACCCCAGCTACCGTAACTTTCCAGCTACCCCAGCTACCCCAGCTACCGTAACTTTCCAGCTACCCCAGCTACCGTAACTTTCCAGCTATCCCAGCTACCCCAGCTACCGTAACTTTCCAGCTACCCCAGCTACCCCAGCTACCGTAACTTTCCAGCTACCCCAGCTACCGTAACTTTCCAGCTACCCCAGCTACCCCAGCTACCGTAACTTTCCAGCTACCCCAGCTACCCCAGCTACCCCAGCTACCGTAACTTTCCAGCTACCCCAGCTACCCCAGCTACCGTAACTTTCCAGCTACCCCAGCTACCCCAGCTACCGTAACTTTCCAGCTACCCCAGCTACCGTAACTTTCCAGCTACCCCAGCTACCCCAGCTACCGTAACTTTCCAGCTACCCCAGCTACCCCAGCTACCGTAACTTTCCAGCTACCCCAGCTACCCCAGCTACCGTAACTTTCCAGCTACCCCAGCTACCGTAACTTTCCAGCTACCCCAGCTACCCCAGCTACCGTAACTTTCCAGCTACCCCAGCTACCGTAACTTTCCAGCTACCCCAGCTACCGTAACTTTCCAGCTACCCCAGCTACCCCAGCTACCGTAACTTTCCAGCTACCCCAGCTACCGTAACTTTCCAGCTACCCCAGCTACCGTAACTTTCCAGCTACCCCAGCTACCCCAGCTACCGTAACTTTCCAGCTACCCCAGCTACCGTAACTTTCCAGCTACCCCAGCTACCGTAACTTTCCAGCTACCCCAGCTACCGTAACTTTCCAGCTACCCCAGCTACCGTAACTTTCCAGCTACCCCAGCTACCCCAGCTACCGTAACTTTCCAGCTACCCCAGCTACCGTAACTTTCCAGCTACCCCAGCTACCCCAGCTACCGTAACTTTCCAGCTACCCCAGCTACCGTAACTTTCCAGCTACCCCAGCTACCCCAGCTACCGTAACTTTCCAGCTACCCCAGCTACCCCAGCTACCGTAACTTTCCAGCTACCCCAGCTACCCCAGCTACCGTAACTTTCCAGCTACCCCAGCTACCGTAACTTTCCAGCTACCCCAGCTACCCCAGCTACCGTAACTTTCCAGCTACCCCAGCTACCGTAACTTTCCAGCTACCCCAGCTACCGTAACTTTCCAGCTACCCCAGCTACCCCAGCTACCGTAACTTTCCAGCTACCCCAGCTACCGTAACTTTCCAGCTATCCCAGCTACCCCAGCTACCGTAACTTTCCAGCTACCCCAGCTACCGTAACTTTCCAGCTATCCCAGCTACCCCAGCTACCGTAACTTTCCAGCTACCCCAGCTACCGTAACTTTCCAGCTATCCCAGCTACCCCAGCTACCGTAACTTTCCAGCTACCCCAGCTACCGTAACTTTCCAGCTACCCCAGCTACCGTAACTTTCCAGCTATCCCAGCTACCCCAGCTACCGTAACTTTCCAGCTACCCCAGCTACCCCAGCTACCGTAACTTTCCAGCTACCCCAGCTACCGTAACTTTCCAGCTACCCCAGCTACCGTAACTTTCCAGCTACCCCAGCTACCCCAGCTACCGTAACTTTCCAGCTACCCCAGCTACCGTAACTTTCCAGCTACCCCAGCTACCGTAACTTTCCAGCTACCCCAGCTACCGTAACTTTCCAGCTACCCCAGCTACCCCAGCTACCGTAACTTTCCAGCTACCCCAGCTACCGTAACTTTCCAGCTACCCCAGCTACCGTAACTTTCCAGCTACCCCAGCTACCCCAGCTACCGTAACTTTCCAGCTACCCCAGCTACCGTAACTTTCCAGCTATCCCAGCTACCCCAGCTACCGTAACTTTCCAGCTACCCCAGCTACCGTAACTTTCCAGCTACCCCAGCTACCGTAACTTTCCAGCTACCCCAGCTACCGTAACTTTCCAGCTATCCCAGCTACCCCAGCTACCGTAACTTTCCAGCTACCCCAGCTACCGTAACTTTCCAGCTACCCCAGCTACCGTAACTTTCCAGCTACCCCAGCTACCGTAACTTTCCAGCTATCCCAGCTACCCCAGCTACCGTAACTTTCCAGCTACCCCAGCTACCGTAACTTTCCAGCTACCCCAGCTACCGTAACTTTCCAGCTACCCCAGCTACCGTAACTTTCCAGCTATCCCAGCTACCCCAGCTACCGTAACTTTCCAGCTACCCCAGCTACCCCAGCTACCGTAACTTTCCAGCTACCCCAGCTACCGTAACTTTCCAGCTACCCCAGCTACCGTAACTTTCCAGCTACCCCAGCTACCGTAACTTTCCAGCTATCCCAGCTACCCCAGCTACCGTAACTTTCCAGCTACCCCAGCTACCGTAACTTTCCAGCTACCCCAGCTACCGTAACTTTCCAGCTACCCCAGCTACCGTAACTTTCCAGCTACCCCAGCTACCCCAGCTACCGTAACTTTCCAGCTACCCCAGCTACCGTAACTTTCCAGCTATCCCAGCTACCCCAGCTACCGTAACTTTCCAGCTACCCCAGCTACCCCAGCTACCGTCACTTTCCAGCTACCCCAGCTACCGTAACTTTCCAGCTACCCCAGCTACCCCAGCTACCGTAACTTTCCAGCTACCCCAGTTACCTTAACTTCCAGCTACCCCAGTTACCTCAACTTTCCAGCTACCCCAGCTACTGTAAGTAACCCAGTCTAGATCTTTAGATCTTTGATATTTGTAGATAATTGAATAGGTCTTTGTTTATGCAAAAATGTATTTTTACGTAATGTATTAGGTTGGAAAGAAAGTTCTCGGAAAAAGTTTTGACTGGAATTTCTTAAAAACGAGAAAATCTGTGAAGAATTGCCGACTTGGCTTTTGAGAAATCACCGTGCAAACTTTTTCTACGAACTTTCTTTCCAACGTAATATGTAAATTTTCAATTGATGGCTTACGATAGGACTTTTTTTTTTTACATTAAATTAATATTATTTAAGAGATTACTGAGAGAAAAGAGTCATTTTTCTAAAAAAATTAAAACTCTGATCGATAGTGGAAATCTATTATAAAGTGAATTATAAAGAAAAGTATCAAAAATAGGACTTCATTGGAGAGAAGTCGATTAAAGCTCATTCTTGTCTTGTCGAAAACTTGTCAAAATGAGTTGTATAACTTGGATTGTGGAGTTTGTTTTCTAGTAGATAAATAAAGCAAAGTTTAAGAGCTACAATTCTCTATATAACACTTGATACTTTTGAAATCAGTTAGGCATTTGTCAGTTGCTTTACTGAAAACAAGTTGTCATAATTCTAGCATCACCATGGAAGATCTAAGAGTATAAAGAAGTATTATAAAGAAGATCTAAGAGTATTATAAAGAAGTATTATAAAGAAGTATTATAAAGAAGATCTAAGCGTATAAAGAAGTATTATAAAGAAGATCTAAGCGTATAAAGAAGTATTATAAAGAAGATCTAAGAGTATTATAAAGAAGTATTATAAAGAAGATCTAAGAGTATTATAAAGAAGTATTATAAAGAAGATCTAAGCGTATAAAGAAGTATTATAAAGAAGATTTAAGCGTATAAAGAAGTATTATAAAGAAGATCTAAGCGTATAAAGAAGTATTATAAAGAAGATCTAAGAGTATTATAAAGAAGTACTATAAAGAAAAGTATCAATAATAGTACTTCATTCTCCAATGAAGTGCTCCAATGAAGTGCTATTTGCTCTAATCGACTACTCTCCAGAAGTCGATTAGAGCTCATTCGAAAACTTGTCAAAATGAGTTGTATAACTTGGATTGTGGAGTTTTCTTTGTTTGTTTTCTAGTAGATAAATAAAGCAAAGTTTAAGAGCTACAATTCTCTATATAACACTTGATAGTTTTGAAATCAGTTAGGCATTTGTCAGCTGCTTTTCTGAAAACGAGTTGTCATAATTCTAGCATCACCATGGCTTTATCTCTTGATGAAAAAGCAAGCTTAAAACTTGAATTCCTTTAACCCCCACTGAGCTAAGGGTTACGGTAGTTGGGAAATGATTTAAACTGTTTAGAAAGATCAATAGACTGTTATGAAAGATCAATAGACTCACCTTATCCCCATCAACAACAAAACAATAATTGTCATCGACCATTGTTGGCGGGATTACATTGCTGAAATGGTGGTACAAGTTGATTTCTGTGTTTTGTTTTTCACTTCAAAACACATTCATTCTAGCAAACTCAAAGATTTTCAGTGCACCAGAGAGGTGTGTTTCGCTCTCAAAGCTCTCAAAGCTCAAATTTCGCTCTCAAAGCTCTCAATCTACACACAAACCTGAGCATTCGCTCGGGCGCCGCCATGAGATTCTCGAGAGCTGCCTCTGTTTGCACCGTATCGTGATGCACTGAATGCACAGGCATATCCTAAACACATTTATTTTCATTCTTAAGAAAATCAACTCTAGTATAAAGCTAATTTGAAAAATTTCAAGTATCACGCCTTTTAAAAAATTAAAACATTACCACTCTGAGATTCCGCTTCGCTACGAACTGTAGAATGGTAAAGAAATGGGTTTTTTTTTATTTAAAGAATTATAAAATCTTTATCTTTAGATAATCTAGATTGTGTTTTATATAGAACTAGGGAATTCTAAGTGCCAATTTTTATTCTATTGGGTTGGTGAATTGAAAACTGCCTGAAAACTTGAATTCTATTCGTTTAAGGCAACACTACGAGACGTTAAAAGCCATTTTGGTAGCAAAAGATTCAAATTTAGTTAGCAGTTTTTGATTGTATTGGGTTGGTGAATTGAAAACTGCCGGCTATTGTCATATGTGACAGTTTGAGGACTTTATTCAAAAAAAAACCCACAAGCCAGGCTCAGGCCAGGCTCAGGCTAGGCTCAGGTCAGGCTCAGGCCAGGCTCAGGCCAGGCTCAGGCTAGGCTCAGGTCAGGCTCAGGTCAGGCTCAGGCCAGGCTCAGGCCAGGCTCAGGCCAGGCTCAGGCTAGGCTCAGGTCAGGCTCAGGTCAGGCTCAGGCCAGGCAGAAGAAGGTCTATGTCTGGACAAACTCTAGGTTTAGCTATGGATTTGACTAGAACAGATCTAGGTCAAGTAAGGCTGATGCAAGGAGTCCTGATTCTTGGGAATCCAAGAACATCTACCAGATTTGAAAAGTCGTAAACAAAACGCAGAAATTCTTGCAAAAGAACGATAGTGTTAGTGTTAGCGAAACAACAATAGTGAGTGTTTCGCTACAACTTTCCAATGAAACAACTAAAATTTTTCAACTTTATGATTCAAAAATTGCAAACCTTATGAAATATGACGGGATCCTCGTTGGACAGGATCGTTTCGGCTGTCAATCCCGTGTCAACCAGTTCAAAAGCGCCCAAATCGATATCGAATTGGGGTGGGCCTTCGGAAGATGACGAGGATTCAGCTCTACTAAAGATTTTCCATAAGGAAATTAATTGTTTTTTGAAAAAAAACAAAACAGATAACAGCGACAGTTGTGAGCGACAAATTCGCATGTTAGAAAAATTGGGATTCGATTAGAAACCGAGACAAAACACGACAGGACAGTAAAAGTGAAAAAAAAGGGGGTGGGACAAATGCGACCTTTTTTTTGCTGGAAAAGGCCTTAGGAAAGGTCGTAGAGCTTCAAAAATGTTTTTATAGAAGGGAATCGTATGCGTAGATTCCGAATTTCGACAAATCAGACCTCGCTGACACGTCAAATTTGGGTTAAAAGGCAAAAACTACGCAACTTAACGCTTTTCCGCAGTTTTTGCCTTTTAACCCAAATTTGACGTGTCAGCGAGGTGTGATTTGTCGAAATTCGAAATCTACGCATACGATTCCCTTATATGGAAATATTTTCGAAGCTCTACGGCCTTTCCTAAGGCCTTTTCCAGCAAAAAAAAAGGTGCGCAAATGTCCAGGTGCGCAAAAAAAGGTCGCATTTGTCCCACCCCCAAAAAAAAAAGAAAAAAAAACTATTAAATAGCAAAACACAGAACAGAAAAGTGTTAGAAAATGAAAAAAAAAAAAAACGAAAAAAGCAAAAACGAAAACGAAACAAAACTATTGACAGGACAGAATTAAAAAAAAAAAAAAAAAAAAGTGAAAAAAACGCGAAACGAAAGGAAAACTTTTGCTTTGTTTTTGCTTGAAATTCTCGTAAACTTTCACGATCTAGCGCACTGAAATCGGCAATCTTGTACGCGAGATTGCAAAAGTTTAGTGCTTTTTTTTTTTGCTTGACCAGGCAGTGCATTTATTTTTTTGAGGGTTAATTTTGTTAGTACTCTTGACACTTTTACTTGACACAATTTTCGATTTTCTGAGATTTTTATTTAGCTGAGACTGTACAAACAAAAATTTACCGTAAAACCGTAACCGTATTTACCGTATCATCAAGTCCAAAAATCGTATTTATAGCTGTTAAATGGCACCTTAGCATACCATTTATTATAATGTAGACAATAGTTTGTTTGCTACTGTATTTGTACTTACCAATTAGACTTTGTAAAGTAGTTACGGAGTTATCAAGTAAAAAAATAGTTACGTAGAACTGTGGTAGCGTTTTTCTTCTAGTTTAACTATAAGTTATAGTTAGTTTAGAAGACTAGAAGTCTAATTTTAACTAAAAGTACTTATAGAAGTCTAGCTATAGATTAAAAGTACTTATAGAAGTCTAGCTATAGATTAAAAGTACTTATAGAAGTCTAGCTCTAAGTCGTATAGTATACTATTTGCTTGCTGGCCCATAATTTGCCTTAGATAAAAGTAAATCAGGTCGAAAATGTTTCAAATTACTTAATTATAACTATAAGTACTTATAGAAGTCTAAGCATAACTATAAGCCTAAGTCTAACTATAATCCGTATAGTATTTGCTTGGTGGCCCATAGCCTGCCATATAGAAGTCTAACTATGACTATAAGATCTTTGAAATTAGTATTTTTCATGCAAAAAAAGCCAAACCATGCAAAGAAAAGCTTCCCAAATAAGCACACTTCATTTCAGGAAAGGATGAGGCCTGGGGACTGTACTGTAAGCCATCCGGATTGTGAATCACTCGATTTACCTCCTCATTTCCTCTCGTAACTCCTCTTGTTCTTGTTCTTCTTCATCTTCATCCTCTTCGGGAATTGTTGAAACCGTGAATAGCTTCGGAATCGGTTCTATTGGTGGCGGTGTCTCCAAACGGGTTTCCTCGTAGCTCGTGCTTTGGGCAAGCTCGGGACTGAGGATGATCGGGGAACCGACAAGCGATCTACATGATGGGATTTTCGATCAAACAAGATACCAGACCAGGCCAGTTTTAAGGGACTTAGGCTTGAACAATGGCCAAATCTTGAGGCCAGCTTGAAGGGACTTAGGCTTGCACAATGGCCAAATCTTGAGGCCAGCTTTAAGGGACTTAGGCTTGAACAATGGTCAAATCTTGAGGCCATTGTTTTTTAACGTTTTGGATTTTAGGCTTCTCAACAATAGGCTTCTCAACAAGCGCTCCTTTTTCAATCCCTCATTCATAAGGCCCATTTCCCTAACCCTCTCTCGAGCGCAGGTGGTTCAGTGGTAGAATGCTCGCCTGCCACGCGGGCGACCCGGGTTCGATTCCCGGCCTGCGCAAATTTTTTTCCTTTTTTGGCTTTAGACCTGGCCTGCCATTCTGGTTTGAAATAGAGCTGCTTTCTAAAAGGTGCTCTATAAAGAAGCCTATTTTGTTGAATGAAGACGGGTAGGTTTTCAAGAACGATTAGACTCGATCAATTAAATCGATTAAAAGATTTCTGACATTCGGGCGACGGTAGAGAAAACGTTAGGAAGTTTACGGTAGTCGGGCACCTTTTAGAAAACGCTTAGGGGTGATTGAAAAGCTGTACCTAGGCGTGGGATCATCGGGTGTCGACAGCTCCACATCGCACATCGCCTCTCTCACCTCATTTACCCCATGGAGGCTATTCTCACGCTCATCCTCTTCTTCTTCTTCCTCTTCTTCCTCTTCTTCCTCTTCTTCTTCCTCTTCTTCCAAAGTCTCCAACTCCAGAATTTTCTCAGGACTGATCACTCTGACCTCATTATATGTAAACTCTGCATCGGGTAGCTTTTCGGGTTTCGCAATTGAGAAATTGGGATGCATGAGTTGAACCTCTTCACATTCTAATGTGATTTTGACTTTTGGCGGTGATTTTAGATTCGATTTCTCGATTTTCATGCGAATTTTTGATGTTTCCGGTGGATCGATTTGAACAATTTCGTTGATTATTTCCGATTTCAGTTCTTTTTGTTGTTGAAAAAGTTGAAAGAGACGTTTTTCGATTATCGTGTTCCCATCGACTTTTCTGCAAAATGAGAAGAAGGGTACGGTAAAGTCTTTGGGGATTTTAAAAGATGGCTTCAGAGTGCGGCAAAGTCTTTGGGGATTTTAAAAGATGGCCAGGACGGCAAGCTTTGGGGTGATGGCCGGTACGGCAGTCTTTGGGGTTTAGTGGCCAGGTACGGCAAAGTCTTTGGGGATTTTAAAAGATGGCTTCAGAGTACGGCAAAGTCTTTGGGGATTTTAAAAAGATCGCTTCAGAGTACGGTAAAGTCTTTGGGGATTTAAAAAAGGTGGCTTTAGAGTACGGTAAATGTATCTATTTTCTAATCGGTTAAAGTTACGGTAAGATGTTTTAAAGCCGTTTTAAAAGCCAAGTACGGTAGATTGGGCACAGTGTTTTTGAGAATGAAAGCGTTTAATTTACGGTAACTTTGAGGGAAATGTTTTAAGATTTGAAAGCCCATCCGACGCAGAATTTCACGCTGATTCCGAATCTGTTTTGCGTTTTTTCAAAATCGTTTTCTATAAAAAGTTATGTGTTTAAAGTTTTAGGGGAAAAATGCGAAAATTTTGAGTCGAATTTTGTGAGGAATTTCGAGCTGAATTTCGAGCTGACTGGCTTTATGGCAGTTTTCTTAAGGATCCCCAAGGCGCCTCCGTGGTGTAGTGGATAAAGGGCTTGCATAGAAAACGATTGATCGATCTTTTTGCTCAAGTTCGATCCCTTGTCAGATTTTCGACAAGGTTATTCTAATTCCGGTAAAGCCAAATTTCAAAATGCTTTCGAAAATGCACTTTTAAATCGCTAACAATAGATTCTAGAGGATTTCTGGATGTATAGGAGGCGTAAAAATATGGGAAAACTTGGAAAATCTATAGTTTACGGTAGTTTATAGAAACTGATCTACGAATTTGATTCAAACGACGGTAGATAGAATAAAATGCACTTTTAAATCGCTAACAATAGATTCTAGAGGATTTCTCGAGGTTTTGGGGCCTCCTAAACTATGGTAAAACTATGGGAAAACTTGGAAAATCTATAGTTTACGGTGGTTTATAGAAAGTGATGAGAATTTGATTCAAGCTACGGTAGATAGAATAGAGATTTTGTTGACTTTAGACTTTCTAGACTTTACCGTACACCTTTATCTCTAAATTTCGCCTAAAAATTTGCATATAACATGAATTTTCATGCAATTGATTCCTAGCAAAATGACAAGCAAAAATGAGGGTTTTTTTTTTTAAATGTAAAATAATCAAAAATGAAACTCGAAAAGGCATCTAAAGGATGACATTAATATCATGCAAACATTCAGATTATAGATTTACATCGATTTTATAGATTTTATAGATTTTCTAGTGATTTTCAATTGATTTAAACTCTAGATTATTCATTAAAAGATTCGTTCTTTGTGCGTACTTTGTGCGTACGCTCCCAGCTAAACGCCACCTTTCTAGCGCACGGAAATCCTCATTTTTCTAGAACCCCAGAAAATGAAGAGTTCCGTGTGCCAGAAAGCCGGCGTTTAGCTGAGAGCTCAAAGTACGCGGATTCGTTTTCCTTAAAAGATTCGTTCTTTGTGCGTACTTTCCCCTCCCAGCTAAACGCCACCTTTCTAGCGCACGGAAATCCTCATTTTTCTAGAACCCTATTTTTCTAGAACAAAATGTGGAGTTCCGTGTGCCAGAAAGCCAACGTTTAGCTGAGAGCGCAAAGTACGCGGAAAGAAGAGTTAGAAAATTTGATTTTGACATGAATTCTATTGGATTTTTAAACTAACCGCGTGAAGGGTCGACTGCTTTCGTCTAACATTCGGATGTATGAATCCCATTCTTCCATACAGGCCAACCCAATCGGCTAAAAAGTTTATACCGATAAAACAATAAATTGAAAGCATTGAAAGCTTCCAAGCTTCCAAGCGCTCCTTTTTCAATCCACCCATTCATAACGCCCATTTCCCCTGACGCCCTCTCGAGCGCAGGTGGTTCAGTGGTAGAATGCTCGCCTGCCACGCGGGCGACCCGGGTTCGATTCCCGGCCTGCGCAAATTGTTTTGCTTTTTTGGCTTTACACCTGGCCTGCCATTCCGGCTTGAAATAGAGCTGTTTTCTAAAAGGTGCTCTATAAAGAAGCCTATTTTGTTGAATGAAGAAGGGTAGGTTTTCAAGAACGATTAGACTCGATCAATTAAATCGATTATCGATTCCCGGCCTGCGCAGATTCTTTTTTCCTTTTTTTTCACTCTTTCTCCAAGAAATAGCATTCACATTTAAAAGCTACATAGCACAAAAGCATAGCTCACATTTTGCGGGCTCACTAGCACAACGGACGATGCAGCCGAAGCGGAAGATTCCCTTCGGACAGCGTCGAACAGAGTGGGTAGATCTAGAGAAAAGGGATAAATAAAAGGATAGATAAAGGGATACGGTAGGTTAGGGTAATGCTTAGAAAACGAGCTTGGATTACGGTAGCTTGTCTGACTATAAAATGAAATTGGGAAAGTGATTTTGATTGACAATTTGGAAAGCAGCAAATTGTACAGAAAGCTACCGTAAGCCGGTGGTCATTACCGTAATCCAGACAGTTCTAGCTTTACAGTAAGCCACAGTAGGCTTAGGGTCATCAAATAGGAAAGCTACAGAAAGTTACAGTAAGCCGGGGGATTACTGTAGCTTGCTGTAAAGCCAAATGAATAAGCTACAGTAAGCCGGGGGTTTACTGTAGCTTGCTGTAAAGCCAAATGAACAAGCAAACTCTTTACCGTAATCCAGACATTTACAGTAAGCTACAGTAAGCTACAGTAAGCAAGCAAACCGGTTTTCACAGCATCAAGCAATTGTCGATTTCTTGGTGAGATATTCAGCCACCCCATCGAGTTTAGTGGATCCAATTTCTTCAGTAAACGAGCTCGTTTCTTTTTCTGACAAATGGAAAAATTGAAAAAACAACAAAGAAAAAAAAATCTGGAAAATGAAAGAAACGCAAAATGATTGGGCACAGTTTTTCGATCTAAAACTTTCAATTTTCCCTTTTAAAATTTAGCAATTTAGCAATTTAGCAATTTTCTACAGGGTATTCAAGAATTAGTACTTCAAAATCTTAACTTAGAACCTCGTCACTCTAACTACCGTATTCTCTCTAATTTTTGGGCGCTCTTTTTTTTTTTCCCCCCCCCCCCACCAGAAAAAAATAAGGGGGGAAAAAAAATATAGATGAGGGGGGTATATGGTCTACTGGATAGGGTTTTTAAGAATTACGCACATTTTTCTCTTTTTTTTCTCTACTCCCTACCTACGCCTAGAGTTTCCCGTTACCCCATAAAAATTGCTAAAATTTACTACTTACTTATTCTTTTGGTATCAATAGAAAGGGTGAAGAGAATAAAAAATGGGGTTTATAACGGAATTACAAAAAAAACAATTAGTTGGTTTTTTTTTTCCTTCTTTTTTTTTACTTATTTTCAACTTTTAGCTTCAATTCTTTACTCGGAAACTCAAAATTAGCAATTTTATAAAAATTCAAAAAGTTTTATGAAGAATGGTTAATTCTAGATAGTGGTAGAGACTAGAGAAAAAGTGTACGTAAATCTTGAACTTGTCTTGAACACTAGGTTGATGAGCTTTACGATAAACTGGGCATAGAACTTTACGGTAAACTGGGCCTAGAACTGTACGGTAAACTGGGCATAGAACTGTACGGTAAACTGGGCATTGAACTGTACGATAAACTGGGCATTGAACTGTACGGTAAACTGGGCATTGAACTTTACGATAAACTGGGCATAGAACTGTACGGTAAACTGGACACTTCTAGAGTGAAAGTAAAAGCTGAACACTGTACCCAATCATTTCGACACAATACCTTTAGCAAAGGTTCCACTGGGGCTGGCCCTTGCACAATGGAGGAACGTCTCGATTCGGGGATCGGGAAAAGGGTTCTTCGAAGTCTTTCCGATGATGGCGGGGACATTAAATGAAGGGGAAGACGGGGGATTTCTTCGTCGATTTGATGAACTTCGACAGGAGAACAAACTGCAGAAAGCTTGACAATGATAGCTTTGGAAAGAGTTGATTGGGTGTTGCTCGAGATTTTCCCAGAAATACTATTGAAATTTAAATTTAAACCGGCTTTTTACTTGAATTTTCTTGATTTACTGTATAGACAATAGGATTCTGAGCTTATTATTGAAAAAGGCGAAAAACGTTAGGCCTATGGTATTACGGTATTAGGGTAGATTACGGTAGGTTCTTAGGGCTACGGTATGGCAAAAAAAGAGATTGGATTACGATGGATTGGAGCAAAGTTTAGAAAGCAAAGATTAGAAAGCGAAGAACAACGAAATTTGATTACTGGGCTTCGTATTGCGTTTTCAAAGAAGGCAGCGAGATTGCTCGATGGTCTATTGGTTAGTGCAAAGGTTTACAAAGCGGCCGTTCACCGGGGTCGTGGGTTCGATTCCCTTTGGAGTTTTTCATTTTGCTTTTTCTAAAATAAGTAATAGAATAGCTCTAGAAGGTGTTCTATACCGTAAATCGAGTTGTTTCTCATCAGTTTCTTGTTAGCTTTCTTGTTCAGTTTCTCATCAGTTTCTTGATCAGTTTCTTCTTAGCTTAGCTTAGGTTACATTAGGGTAAAGTCTAAGTCTAAAGCTCGAGCAACACTCAATCACAAAAATCTACACACCTTGCGGTGGGGAAAGTAGACGAAAAGATGAATCGTCGTCCTTCTCTTCTTCATCCTCTTCATCTCTAATATTTGTCATCGGTTGTCGCGGTGATTGGAAATGCAGTTGATCGCTTTCCCATCTTTCCAACAGATCACACTACATTTAGAGAAAAAGCGATTTTGCACAAAGACAGAGCAATGATTCGGATTTGCTTGAGAGTGAGATAGTAAGATCTTGAAACTTATCTAGAAAGTCTTTCTTTCTTAAAAAAATCGTCCGTACTTTATGCGCTTAAACGCTCACCTTTTGGCACAGTACTTTGGCCAAGAGTGCACTAGAGAGTATGCGTTTATTTGGGAGCACAATCAGATATAAGAATACGGTAAGTTTGGGTAAAGTTTAGAAACAACTGGATGAGGCTTGCGCTAGGCTTGCGCTAGGCTTGCGCTAGGCTTGCGCTAGGCTTGCGCTAGGCTTGCGCTAGGCTTAGGTTTAGCTTTGGTTTAGCTTTGGTTCGGCTTAGGCTCGGCTCAGGCTCGGCTTAGATCCGTCTTAGATCAAAATAGGAACCGTATTGGAACCGTATTAGATCAAAATCGGAACTAAGCTTACGCTAGGTTTAGGTTTAGTTTTGGCTTGGCTTAGGCTCGGCCTAGGCTTGGCTTAGTCTTAGCATAGGCTTAGTAACAGCTGAACAGGTGATTAACAGCTAAATTACGGTAGCCTAGATGAGTTTAAGAGTACGATAGCTTTTGGTAATGTTTAGAAAAGTACTGATCCCATAAACTAGAAGAAGATCTTGCTCAAATCCCTCTCTCAACCCAAATCCAACCTGTGCGGCAAGCTTGGCGAGCATGAACGGTTCAGAGATGGAGAAAGAGTTTGGCGGTGGGAATTGCAGAGGATCAGGTGATAGCTGAGGGGAAGTGTCGACACGTAAAGGTCGGAGAGAGAGCCGGCCTTTCGCCCGCTTTTGGGTTGATCGCCAGCTTACAGAGGAACTCGTGGAGGCGGTTGAATGAGCTGAAGATGGAGGAGAGGGGATCGCATAGGAGCCGGGACACGAACGGATGCGACGAGAGCGTTTCGCGGAGAGCGCTGAAATTCGAAGCTTTAGATTCTATGCAAGTAAATCTTGGATTTCAATCTTTTTCCTAAAGTCTTGGGGTTTCAAAAAGGTGCTGGCTAATCGGGGAATCTATTGTCAACAGATTCATCCAGTTCATTCATCCAGCCAGGTTTATTCTTAAAGTTTTATCAAGGCCAGATCAGGCTCAGAGTCAGCTATCAATCTTGATCGTGATCTAGCTAGCGTTTCGAACTTTTAGGAATATTTAGATTAGATCTAGATTAGATCTAGATCAGATCTAGATCAGATCTAGATCCTTAACAACTAGTGTTATCAGTGTTTTCTCTTTTTCTAGAGTCTTTTACTTTTAAAGTACTTTGTAAATAGATCCAATAGTCCCATAGGACTTAAAAATAACTTAATTTTACTGAAAATTTATGATCTTTTGCAAATCTTGGGAGGAAATATTGATTTTTATTGGGTTGGTGAAAAAAAAAGGGTCAATTACAGTACTTTTAAATGAATCAATCACCGATTTTGATAGTACAAGACAAGGTTATCTTTATTTTTAGAGCTGGAAGCTGGTTTTCTCGAGTTTAAAACAGACACAACTTCTTAGAACTAGAATGAGTGAGCTTTAGAGTCTTAGCATAGGCTTAGTACTTAGTACACTTGTAAGTATTATGACTCTAAAGCTCTAGTAATGTTTTATTTATCCTTTTGAATAGGTACACTCTTGTTAGAAGATATTAAACGATAAATTGATAAGATTAAACTAGGAGTCTAGGTTACTTGCTACAGTATTTGTAGCTTTTTAAATTTAAATTTTTCTTCATAGATTTAAAAGTGCTTTGAATTGATCTATTGGGTTGGTGAATTAAAAACTGCGAGACTTTGAACTAAAATTTCTTCACCATAAAACCATGAATTCATTCCAAATAATTTCCATTATTATTGACGACTTGTGCCCATTTTACAGGCAATTTGCGGATTCCTCTTTCGTAGTAGGATTCTGGTTTGTGTGTGAGACAAGTGTGAGACTCAAAAATGGAGGACTGGAGATGTCCAGTTTGGACCCAGTTTGAGAACTTTCTTCAAAAGAAACCCATTTTGGTGTCAATAGAAAAGTTGTAGAGAATCAAAAATGAGGCTTATAGCCAAATTTCCAAAAAGATACACCTAGTAGTTTTGCTTAAATTGCAAGTTTTGTGAAAATTCGTAAATTTTAGAATGATTCTCTAACTATTATAATCTTTAACTTATTTTAGAATGATTCTCTAACTATTTTCATCTAACTTTTAAAAAATGGTTCGAATGAGCGCCGCGTTGGCGAAATATTGGGATTCTTTCGAGAATGCGTCTGGTGAGGAAATTGGAAAATTGAAAAAATAGCAAGATATTCTATTAAATTAAAGATATTCAGTTATTAAATAAGATATTCAGTTATATAATAGAAAATAATTGATTTCAAATGCAAATTTGTGTTTAGACTCCGAGATCGGCCGCGAGAAAAGCGAAGATCCCGAACAGGTCGACACGACAAAAAAGGAGACAAGGTCCAGATTTTGAGAAACTTCTTTTGAGATAAATTTAGATTTAAATCTATTATAAATCTAGATATATGAATAACTTTTTGAAATTCCTATCTATTGGTTTGGTGAATTAAAAACTGCCCGACTTTGAACTAAAATTTATTCAACATAAAACCATAAATTCATTCCAAATAATTTCCATTATTATTGACGACTTCTGCCCATTTTACAGCAAACTTGCAAATTCCTCTTTCGTAGTAGGATTTTGGTTTGTGTGTGAGACAAGTGTGAGACTCGAAAATGGAGGACTGGAGATGTCCCAGTTTGAGCATTTGAGCACTTTCTTCAAAAGAAACCCATTTTTGTGTCAATGGAAAATTTGTAGAGAATCAAAAATCAAGCTTATATCCCAATTTTCAGGACGATTCAAAAACTGATTTTCAAGAAATGCCAAATTTACGAATTCTCACAAAACTTGCATTTTAAGCAAAACTTCGAAGTGTATCTTGTTGGAAATTTGGCTATAAGCCTAATTTTTGATTCTCTACAACTTTTCTATTGACACCAAAATGGGTTTCTTTTAAAGAAAGTGCCCAAACTGGGAGTCCTCCATTCTCCAGTCTTCCATTTTTGAGTCTCACACTTGTCTCACACACAAACCAAAATCCTACTACGGAAGAGGAATCCGCAAATTGCCTGTAAAATGGGCAGTAGTCGTCAATAATAATGGAAATTATTTGGAATGAATTGATGGTTTTATGTCGAATAAATTTTAGTTCAAAGTCCGGCAGTTTTCAATTCACCAACCCAATAGATTCTAGACTCTAGACTCTAAATTCTAGACTCTAGACTCTAGATTCTAGAATCTAGAATCTAGACTCTAAATTCTAGACTCTAGATTCTAGATTCTAGAATCTAGAGTCTAGATTCTAGATTCTAGAATCTAGAGTCTAGATTCTAGACTCTAGATTCTAGAATCTAGAGTCTAGATTCTAGAATCTAGAGCTGGCCAAATCAAGTCATAGCTTGCCTAGGTCTAGCTCATATCCCATTACCGTAATCCTAGCGCTTAACCAAGCCCAGCTTGCAGTAAAGTCAAATCAATATCAAGATCCAACCCAATAGATCGTAGATCTTTTGGTCAACCAAATAGACGATCTTTTCGTTTAGATTGAAGAGATTTTCGAATATTTTAGAAAAAAAACTAGTGTACGCTTTCATTTTCGAAGTCCAATTAAGCGACAAACCGATTTTCTCGTAGTCAGGGCTGGGCAGCGGGAACTCGAACTTGAACGAGTCCACAGACGGCTCCGGGGATCGGTACTCGTCCCAATAGTTCTAAAAAACGATAATAAATCATAGATAATAGATAAAAGATAATAGATAATAGATAATCGATAATTACTTACCGTAACTACTGTAATAGTACCCCACCCCCATAATGACGGTGCGGAGTGTTGCGTAGTCTAGCTTTGAACGAGTTTTTCTCGACACTGGTTTATGCTACAATGTTCGTTTAGGTATCAAAAAATAGCTGAAATTCAGGGCTATTTTTTGATACCAAAGACGTATTTTTTGAAAGTACGGACGCTTTGAAAAAAAAATGAAATACTAAAAAACTTTTGCGACGACGCGACTGTACGTAGGGGGTGGGGTACTATTCCAGTATTTACGGTAACAGAATAAAAGTTAAAAATAGATAAATAACTTATTGATAACTTATCTTTTCTTTTCTTTTCAAGTAAATTATCAAATTCGAAATCTAAAAATCAAAAAAGCTTTTTGAAAAAGAAAGAGAAAAGAAAAACCCATTTTTTTTGCTTGTTAAATTATAAAATCTCTCTTTAGTTTAACTAGGTTTAAAAAGAAACTTCTAAATGAAAGACTTTCTCTAAATAATTCTCAAAAACAAACCACTCTCAAATGAACACTTGGCTCAGTGGACAAAGAGCAATGTTCAGAAAGTGATGGTCCCGACTCATCCCATGAATCGCCTCGGGATCTCATTCGGTGAAACATACTAAAATAAAATATCAATAATATTGATTATAATATTGATTATAATATTGATTATAATATTGATTATAATATTGATTATAATATTGACTATAATATTGTCTATAATATTGATTATAATATTGTCTATAATATTGTCTATAAGCAATATTATAAGCTGATAATATTGTCTATAATATTGCCTATAATATTGATTATAATATTGATTATAATATTGATTATAATATTGATTATAATATTGACTATAATATATACTATAACATATACTATAATATTGCCTATAATATTGCCTATAATAGTTTAAAACTAAAAGAAAAGGCTTTAAACTTGAAAAACTTACAGTGATCGTCCGCTTGCCGACGAATTGCTGTACCGAGACGGGGGACGCCAACTTAAAAATGAAGAAAAAGGTAAGGAAAATGAAAATAAACGAAGAAAACTTATTGGGTTTTAGAAATTAGATTTATTACAATAGATTTTTAAAAGCTAACCTTCGTATTGACATGATGGTTGGCGAGGGAACGTGCTCCGCGTTCGGCAGATCGGTTCGAAGCGGCGCCTGGTAGACCATCTCGTCTTCGACCCAGCTGCAACAATGGTTAAATGGAAATTGGCACGGTTTTCATTACTTTATTAGATATTTATTTAATTGTAGCAAACGTTTTATGTAATTCGTTTGTAGTCTTTTAAGTAAATGTCTCTTCTCTGTACGGTACAAGTCTGTGAAGTGGACCTGTTGGCTGATTGGAAGCAGTTAGAACTTGCTAGTTTGGAAATGGACCTAATTACTCCCTGTATTTCCATTAGAAATGAATCTAGGAATGGTATTATAGTTAGAAATGAGTCTAGGAACGTTATTATAGTTAGAAATGAATCTAGGGACGGTATTACAGCTGGAAATGAATCTAGGTACGGTATTAGAGTTGGAAACGAGTCTAGGGACGGTATTACAGTTGGAAATGAGTCTAGGAACTTTATTATAGTTAGAAATGAATCTAGGTACGAAAATATAATTATAAACGAGCTTGAACACGGGAATCTTGGCACGTTATTAACTAACAATTGCTATACAATCACAATTGTTTTGTGCTTATCTTTTCATCAAGATTTAGCCTCCACCTACAGTCATGGAGTTGGTGCTTTTATGGATTGAGGCAGGGAATGGTCGGCGCCAGGATTCGAACCCGTGAGCGCTTACCGGGCGAACGCTCTACCAATGAGCTACACCGACGTATTCGATTGTCGCCAGGAAAGGGCCCTTGACTTACTATAACCTTATACCTTATGTCTTACTTTTGTCGATGACTATAAAATTCATAAATCAATTGAGAGTATCAGAGACAACAAGAATCTTTCAAGAATCAACAACGGGAATCTTTTAACCGAGCTCTGTGCCTGAGAATAGGCACAGATACATGTCAATTGATACAATTTTAGCCAGAAATCCTGTATAAGCTCTGTAGCTAGTTCTGTAGCTCCTAGTTCTGTAGCTCTGTCTTTTGGCTAGCTCTAGGCGTTGTAAGCCAGCCTTTAAGCCTGACTATGACTCGGAGAAAATGTCTAAACACAGAAATTTTTATCCATTGATTTTTGTCGACAAGAAATCAACTCACACAGCTGATGGTGTGCTCGGTGTGGGCGTGTGTTGCATGAGTGAGACTTTCTCGTAGCGATCGGTGAGCAGAATTGGCGGTGGTTCGGATTCGTGGCTGAATTTCCGGGAAAAGTTAGCGCCAAAAAGACAACGTTATTCTCGGGTTTATCATAGAAAATCTGGGGAAAAAGATAAAAAAGATTTCAATGTGTGAGAAATCATTTTGTTTTAAGACCAAAAAGACAAAAGAATAGAACAATAGAACTTACATGTGATCGAGCACGTGTTTCATCACCTCCATCACTTGTTCGTTAGTGGCTCCACTTCGCATTAAATGTCGTTCTAGAAAAAAAAAGAGGTTTTCTTGGTTTAGTCTTCAAGTATTAAGTTGGAAAGAAAGTTGTCGAAAAAGTTGGAAATTTTGATTGGAATTTCTTCAAAACAAATCCACCAATTCAAGAACATTTTGTTCTATTATTTACAAGTCGACGCCAAGAAATTACCCTTTCTTCATTTCTATTATTTTCTATTTCATTTCAAGTACACAATACTAAGCTATACCTTAACTCCAATTTCTCGGCGCCTCTTTAAACCCTACTCTTATTGGACTTGTTCTAGATATTGGACTAGATATTGGAGTAGATATTGGAGTAGATATTGGACTAGATATTGGACTAGATATTGGAATAGATATTGGACTAGATATTGGACTAGATATTGGAGTAGATATTGGACTAGATATTGGACTAGATATTGGAGTAGATATTGGACTAGATATTGGAATAGATATTGGACTAGATATTGGACTAGATATTGGAGTAGATATTGGAGTAGATATTGGAGTAGATATTGGACTAGATATTGGACTAGGTATTGGACTAGGTATTGGACTAGATATTGGACTAGATATTGGAGTAGATATTGGAGTAGATATTGGACTAGATATTAGGTTAGAAAGAAATTTCCTCCTCTAATTTCTAAAGAAATTAGAAAGAAATTTCATCATGCAAACTTTTTCCGAGAAATTTCTTTCTAACCTAATATCTAGTCCGATATCTAGTCCGATATCTAGTCCGATATCTAGTCCAATATCTAGTCCGATATCTAGTCCAGTATATCCATACTTTATAATCTTATAATTTCTTGAATTTCTGAAAATTAGTTCAACTAAATTTTGATATATCTTGGCAATAATTCATTTTTGAAAAAAAACAAAAAAGAAACCATTCAATTCGACTAATTTTCCTGTATAATAGCTGCAAAATTAGCTTATGAAAAGGAGTAGAGAAAAAAGAATAAAGCTAATTTTCTCAATGACATTTGAAAATTGTTTTTAAATTGTTAGAAAGCTCTTTTTTAA